AAGGTGCACATGACGTATGTAAAATGCACACGCATGTAACAGTACCTGTTCACTGTAGAGTGGATGCCCATGAAATTGTGGTGGTTTTTCCTTTTCTTTACCTTGAACTTCCACATTGAACCATCAACTTACCTTGTTAATGTTTCCCTACCCCACCAGAAAGCTGTAATAGTGAGTTTCCCAGCAAATAACAATAATGAATATTTATATCTTTCGAAGACTGTATTTTTCTAATTAGTAAATATAATCTCTGTTAGCCAGATAACCAAGGTATGAAGTTGATAGTGTATTTTGTTTTCTTTGTTTTTCATTTTACCTAACATGACATAACTACATCCTTCAATTCCAGATCCCATGAAGAGAAGTGAGGCTTTATCATATCATAGCACTCATTACACTTGCATCTCAGAAAAGGCAAAAGAAATTTTAAAGATTAACAATTTATATATTGGTGCTCAGTTATTAGTAGCTCAGGGGGTAGCTTATCTTGCTTCAGTATAATGCTGTATTAAACATTAAGTAAACCAACTGGAAATACATTCAACTTTAAATATTTATCCTCCAGTTGTAAAAATTAGCAGATTTTAAACAAATTGCAAAACTCTAGAACTAACCAAGGATGCTCACCAAATCCTTTTTTTTTTTTTTTTTTTTTTTTTATCTCCCCGGTGAGCTACCTGTGGTTGTATTTGTTCCCTTGGTCAGGCTTTTTCTGTTTTCTCCTGTCCTTTCTCTGAATGTCTCTAACATTCTGTCAGTTTCACACAGCTTAGCACTGGGTTATAGACAATTTCACAGTCTGTAATTGTTTCTTTAGTGGAAATCTTGTCACTCTGACAGAGGGAATCTGCCTTCCATAGCTTTTGCGTGCCCTCTAAGACTTTAAACGGGAGAACAGAGAGAAGGCTAAATAAATATTCAATATATTCTATTATTTTTTTCCTATCCATTTTGTCTTTGGGCTTCATTTTTTCTCTGTATTTTAAAAAGTGTGGCCTTCTTTTATGATAATCAGAATGAAATGTTCCTGTAATCCTAGCACTTAGGCAGGAGGATAGCTTGAGGCCAGGAGTTCAAGACCAGCCTGGTCAACATAGCAAGACTCCTGTCTCACAAAACCTGAAAAAACACTTAACTGGGCCCAGCAGCATGTGCCTGTAGTCCCAGCTACTTGGAAGGCTGAGTCAAGAGGATCACTTGAGCCCAGGAGTTCGAGGCTGCAGTGAGCTATGATCATGCCGCTGTGTTCCAGCCTGGGCAACAGAGTAAGATCCTGTCTCAAAAACAAATAAATATGGAATGTCATGTTTGTAGTAAATCATTTTGTTTTGTTTGGAAATTAATAAAAAAACATTACAAAACATCAAGATAATAATGTATTACTGTCTGAGTCATATGAATTCATAGATCTTTCTGTGTATCAGTTTACAAAGGACCTGACTTCAGTGTTAGATTTCTTCCCCTTTTTTTTGCCTGGTGTCTCTTTTATATTTCAAATATGAATTATTTAATATTGCTCCAAATGCTTACTGAAGAAGACTTTATTTTAATATCTTTTTATTCTTGTATACTAAATTATTTTCACTAATACGAAGTTTTCACCTTGACATTATTTTTTTTATCACTAGTGTTATCATTACAACAGTTCTGTACCTCTCGGATGCACTTCGTAAGAACTTCTTAAATGAAAACTTTGATTATAAGGTAAGCATTCATTTAGCTGACTCTCCTGTTTGGGCTAAAATAATTGCATTGTATTATAGCAAATTATCTAACATTTTCTTGGGCCATATTAGTTTTAACTATGAATAATAATAGAACAGTTTTCATTATATTTGTGAACAGATGAAGGCTTTAATAATGCTTATCAGCCTGGGAAATCATAGTACCTAAAAGGAGATGGTTTTTTATTGTTACTATAAATTTTAATTCTTGCTCTTTTCTATATGATCCCTGTTTGTGACAAAGGGGACTTTGAACATAATTTTTTTACTTTTTAGAGATGGAGTTTATATGAAGGAAACATTTACAAAGTAAACTCTTTAGTTTCTTATTTCTCTGTCTTCCCATTTTTTAGAATGAATAAATGAGAAGAAGAAAAATGAAACATTGGTAGGATTGTTTAAGGCAGTACCCTCTGTATATCTATAACATAATGTGATATACCTGGGTGCCTACAAATTCTTGATATACTATTTCTCAAATAGCAAATGATAAATGTCAAACAAAGATGAGCAGTGCCTATCTTGGCTTTCTTTCCTAATGATCTTTCTTTGTTATTGGCATCTTTGTTTCTTGTTCTGTTTTCAATAACATTTTCCATATTAAACATTTTTGTAAAATGTTCTTATTGGAAAATAAGAAAATACTAATAAGCACAAATATAATAAAGGAATTTTAATAGTTACATAAGATTTGTCTATATTATAGCTTATATCAAAACTTCTTATTTTATTCTTATAAATTATTCATTTTATATACATTCTTATAAAATAAATCTTTGCATATATCCCTAATTATTTCTTTTCTTCTTCTTCTTCTTTTTTTTTTTTTTTTTTTTTTTTTGAGACAGAGTCCTACTCCATTGCCCAGGCCGGAGTGCAGTGGAGTGATCTCAGCTCACTGCACCCTCTACCTCCCGGGTTCAAGCAATTCTCTTGCCTCAGTCTCCCAAGTAGCTGGGATTACAGGCAAATACCACCATGCCCAGCTAATTTTTTTGTATTTTTAGTAGAGAGGGGGTTTTGCCATGTTGGCGAGGCTGGTGTCAAACTCCTGACCTTAGATAATCTGCCTGCCTCAGCCTCCCAAAGGGCTGGGATTACAGGCATGAGACTGTGCCTGGACCTTAATTATTTCTTTAGATAAATATTTATTAGTGGAATTGTTGAGTAAAAGGTTATACCAATCATATTTGATTGCCTGTTTTCCTGCAGTTACACCAACACTAGAAGATTTTTTTTCTTGACAGATAGAGAAAAGTCCTGTTTGCTTTAATTTGCATTTCTCACTAGTTATTACTTACTGACTAGTTACTAGTTATTGACCAAAATTCATATTTTTGTGAATTTTATGTTCTTGACTTTTATTCATTATTTTTCTTAGGGTTTTATGATATTCTTTTTAATTTCTTTTTTTTTTTTTTTTTTTGAGACGGAGTTTCACTCTTGTTACCCAGGCTGGAGTGCAATGGCACGATCTTGGCTCACCACAACCTCCGCCTCCTGGGTTCAAGCAATTCTCCTGCCTCAGCCTCCTGAGTAGCTGGGATTACAGGCACACACCACCATGCCCAGCTAATTTTTTGTATTTTTAGTGGAGACGAGGTTTCACCATGTTGACCAGGATGGTCTCGATCTCTTGACCTCATGATCCACCCGCCTTGGCCTCCCAAAGTGCTGGGATTACAGGCTTGAGCCACCGCGCACGGCCTATTCATTATTTTTCTTAGGGTTTTATGATATTCTTTTTTATTTCTAAGAGCTCTTCATCTATAACAGATACTAATTCTGTGTCATATTTCTCCGGGTTTGTTATTTGTCTTTGGTTTTACATGGTATCAGAGGAGAAGTATGTTCCTTCCATTATGTCCTTTATTTATTTATTTATTTATTTATTATTATTTTGCTAAGTTTACTTCAGGGAACTTTATTCAGATCTCTTTCTGATTCTGTTTTTTGGTATAAGAAAACTTAAAAGATTTGTCTGGGCAGGGAATTTTTATATAATGTCTGAATTTAAAGCAATTAGCGTATCTGAAGAAGTGTATGCATTTTTTACAGGTTGTACATTAAAAGGAGTTCCAAAAATGAACTCACACAGGAATAAAGAAATCCATCTTATAACATATCCTCTTGGAGATTCTCAGACATATTACAAGAGGAACCACACACCTACCATTTAGCATATACCAAAATGCTTGTGAAACCTGGAATATACCTTTGGAGCAATATATACCTAGATATTAATGGTATTATTTATTTAGTTCTTTGTTATAGAAAATGTCAAGCATATGTAAAAGTAGAGAGAATAGTATAATGAACACCTATGATGGTTCAACTATTATCAACTCAGGGTCAATCTTACTTCAGCTATACCCTCATCCCCTTACCAGTTTGGAAGCAAATCCAAAATACTGTGTCACTTCACCTGTCAATATGTTTATAACACCATAGTATTGAAATATCTTGTTCTTGTTTTAGATCTGGGATTCCTACTTTTACCTCGCAGTCATTTTTATAAACCAGTTGTGTCTGCAGTTGGAGATGTTCACACCTTCCAAGAAGAAAAAGGTGTTAGAAAAGTAAGTGTCAATGTATAGATCAGGTGAGAAATGTTGCCTCTTAAAGAGTATTTAGTTCAAATGATTCACAAACCAGAATGCCTATAACTGGAAGAACCAGTGAAGAACGCAGTAAAGAACCAGTGACCAAGAGTTCAAGAAGCAATCTTTTCTGGATGCTGTGATATTTTAAACATGTTTGCACATTGTTTTGACCTGGCTCTTTCAGGATTCAAAATGTCTATAAGATGCAAAGAATTATGAAATACATCTATTTTACTAAAAGGTTTACATAAGGATTTGACTTGGAGGCATCATGACATGTATATTAAACGTCTTTAATTAAAAACTCCTTACCTTTTAATTCAGAATGACAGCTTGTATCCTAAAGACACACAAAGACTTCTTTTTTCTGGAGGTGTTGTATCAGGTTTGGTTTTTTTCTATTTCAGGTATGGTGACATGCGGGTAACAATGGGTTGTGAAATTTTCAGCATGTGGCAAAACCTAGGTAAGTGGAGAAAAGAGAAGCCACATCCACTGTACAGCTCGTCACTGTACTTTGAAGTGTACAGCTCAAGAAGGGCAATTTACCAATGACAGCATTTGAAACCAAATGCCTAAATCAATAAACATCAATAGAAAGTAAATGACACTTTGGCATTGAGTAAGGTTACAACTAATTCTTTAAATTGGTGTCTAAGAAAAGCCACCTTACCTTTGTGTGTTTAATTGTTAATTAATGATAAAATTTTGTAATCTAGCATTGCTTCAACATTACACATATTATTTCCAGCAATGAGCTAATCTTTCAGAATTTGAAACCATAACAACTCAAAATTTCTAGACCTCTGAATTGAAACTGTGAATCATAATAAATTTAGGTTAAACTTCATGAAACGTTGACTTGAATGTCACTGCTCTTAAAAACCTGAAACCATTGTCCTATATATAAGGAGTATAGCCAAGGGATTTTAAAAGCATCTGCAGTTGCTAAGAAACTGTTGGATCCAATTGTGTTAATCTGCCACAGCAGGTAGAGTATATTATCCCAGAAAATGGATGGTACAGATCTGGTTACATAGGAAACAATAATATTTGGGAAACAAATTGTTTTAAAATTCATTGGCATGGGGTCCCTTTCTAGAGATTTATAACTTATTTCATTTAGTATATTAACTATGCTGATTTTTAGTATTCATTTACTATTACTGCATCTTAATTCTCCTTTTTGATTTATTAAAGTGATTGACCTATTTGAGTTGAATATGTAATGACGTGAAAGTATCCTTTCTCTTGGGCTCATCCGAGCACAACTTGAAGATGGAAAGATTTATTTTCTGTGAATGAAAATAGAACCATTGTTGTTTTACTTCCACTCATGTTACAGACTGACTTTTGACCAGGATCATAACAGGGTGATTTTTTTTTTAATAGGGTATGTATATTCCTCAAGTATACTTAGCAACTTGAGGGATCCTTGTTATATATAATTAAGCCCAGTGTTCAGTGGTTGCTGATGATTTTAGGAAAAAAAAAAAAAAAAAAAATGAGGCCGGGAGCAATGGCTCACGCCTATAATCCCAGCACTTTGGGGGTCTGGGGCGGGCAGATCACTTGAGGTCAGGAGTTCAAGACTAGCCTGGCCAACATGGTGAAACCCTGTCTTTACTAAAAATACAAAAATTAGCTGGGCATGGTGGTGGGCGCCTGTGATCTCAGCTGCTTTGGAGGCTGAGGCAGGAGAGTCACTTGAACCTGGGAGGTGGAGGTTGCAGTGAACCAAGATTACTCCACTACACTCCAGCCTGAGCAACAGAGTGAGACTCTGACTCTAGGAAAAAAAAAAAAAAGAGTTAACATCTTGAAAACAACCTCCAACTATGTAAGGCCAACCAGAAGATATCATGGTCTGTCTTTAGATGCGGCTCAAAAATAGTTTTCTTATTTGGAGACTGCTCTTCTTCGTCTTCAGGTTTTATTGATTCTTTGTGTCCTTATTTTTTCAAAAGAAGATCAAGGCCCTTGTCGTGTCCATATTGCCTTTGACATTAATTTAGCAAGATGTTTTTGAAAGAATGCTGCATTGAATCTGTTTGACTGCAGTGGTTGCCTAACTTCTCTGGGCTCAAATTACGAGACCAGGACAGATTCGGTTGGGTTACTAGAATGTTAAAAAAAAAAAAAAAAAAAAAAAAAAAAACATGGCCAGTTCCTGTTCTAGATACATGTCAGCATTGCCATCTATAGTTATTTCCACATAAATCTATATCCAAACCGTAATAGTTATGCACTTAGGCCCATGACCCATGGGCTGCTAAATAAAGCTGTCACATTTAATCTCCCTAAACATGTCATTGTATACTTCATAAACTTTCATCCTCTATTTTGTCTTTCTTCTAAAATGAAACTATTTCTACCTCTCTGGTTTTTATGTTAAATTATGTCTCTTTTCTCTGAGATCTGGAGAATATGAAAAACTTCTGGAGCATATCAATCCCTATATTGGAGTATTTTGTCACACTGTAGCATCAGCATACTTGGAAGCTTGTAAGAAATGCAAAATCTCTCGCTCTACCTTAGACCTACTGAAACAGAATCTCAGGGACTGGGGCACAGCAATCTGTCTTAGCGAGTTCTCCAGGTGATTCTTATGTACTTAGCTAAAAACTGAAAAGCACTGCTTTAGTTTATCCTCTTTCTTTGTTGTTCCAGCCCTAAAGACTAGCTCAGCACAATCCCGGGACTCTGTTAGAAAAGGCACCTCCCCTCCAGCCTGGCAACAGAGTGAGATTCAGTCTCAAAAAAAAAAAAGTCTCCTCCCTTATACTCAACTTACAGATTCCCAGCATGACATGGTTCAGGCGTAGGGTCAGTGTAAATTTTCACTTCATTCCTTGGTCGCTGCACTATTTCCCTAGAATTGTGTCCTGACTGCAGAGACTTCCCAAATATTAGGTGAATTTTAAAGTTTGTTGCTATTGTACAATAGCTAGAATTGGAAAATATTCAGAAATGATAAAGCCTCTCTTCCAACATGTATTTTTATAAAATGAGAAGAAGAATTAAGTATTCAGGGTGATTTTTTGATACCCCTTATAGGCCTTAAATCAGCTTGTTACTTAGGAATATCAAAATGCATTAGTTATCATTTGGTTTACTTATAAATATGGCATGTTGAGAATTTGAATGCTAAAAGAGAATTTATTTAGGTAATTATAAATTTGCCATGTTTTAATGTAACAGGCCAATAAATTCATATGACTAAGTTTATGAAGCACTGGCTATATGCAAGTGTTTTGGAGGGCATAAGAAAAAATGGTCCACACCTGTTAAAATCTTAATTTTAAAATCTTATATTTTAAACTTTTTGCCCAATTTAGTTGGAACTATGAGAAAGCTTGACAAAGACAACATCATCATGTTTTAGTAAAGCTAATAAGCTTTTATGAATTCATAAATCAATATCATATATATATATATATATATATATATATATATTTTTTTTTTTTTTTTTAGATGGAGTCTGGCTCTGAAGCCCAGGCTGGAGTGCAGAGGCACAATCTCGGCCGACTGCAACCTACCCCTCTTGGGTCCTGGTTCAAGCAGTTCTTCTACCTCAACCCCCTAAGTAGCTGGGATTACAGGCACGAGCCACCATGCCCAGCTAATTTTTATATTTTTTAGTAGAGATGGGGTTTCACCATGTTGGCCAGTCTGGTCTTGAACTCCTGACCTCATGATCCGCCTGCCTTGGCCTCCCAAAGTGCTGGGATTACAGGCATGAGCCCCTGCGCCCAGCCAATATCCTCAATATTTTAAATAGATACAAAACACACTAACTTTTAGAAACTAGAATGAAGGAAGGAAATGCCCAAGGTCACTTAATATACTTTTATCCACTTGAAACTGCCTAGTTGATCTAATTTAGAAATACACGTTTTACTGGATAATACTTTTACACCAGATTTGGTCATTGATGTTTACCTCAGAAGTGTTGAAATTCTTCCATATGCTAGAAACATGTTGTTTTTTTCCATTCTACTGATGGCGGTCGGGGGGGAGACACATGTACTTCAGTGACTTGTCAATTTTTAAACTAAAAGCTATAGTATTTTAAAATCTGATCATTATATCCCTTAGCAACCTGTGAGCAATTTTTCAACCCTATGAGACCTAGAACTGCTTACGTTTTCAGTGTTATTTTTAACCATAAATCAGCTGACTAATAGACATTTAGTTGTGTGTGCTTAATATATTTTATAATTCTAAAATTACATAACAACTTACCTATAGTATTACAAATGCTTTTATTTTTATTTATTTATTTATTTATTTTTTGAGACGGAGTTTCGCTCTCGTTACCCAGGCTGGAGTGCAATGGCACGATCTCGGCTCACTGCAACCTCCGCCTCCTGGTCTCAGGCAATTCTCCTGCCTCAGCCTCCTAAGTAGCTGGGATTACAGGCATGCGCCACCACGCCCAGCTAGTTTTATTGTATTTTTAGTAGAGACGGGGTTTCACCATGTTGACCAGGATGGTCTCGATCTTTCGACCTCGTGATCCAACCGCCTCGGCCTCCCAAAGTGCTGGGATTACAGGCTTGAGCCACCGCGCCCGGCACAAGTGCTTCTATAATGATTATTTACATACAGAAAGTTTAACCTTTGTTCTGAATAAGTAAATATTTGAATTCTTTAGTATATTTGTAGCTCATACAACTGGGAGAAGCAAATTCTAAATTCTCTTCTGCTTTCCCCTCAGTCTTGGAGTTTTTGCAAGCAGGGCCATGAGCACCCATTTTTTTGTCAACAGGAATGAATCCATGGCTCTGCTAGTTCATGCTTCAGCCCTAGTTCTATGAAGTCTGGTTTGGAACATAGAAACAAAATCAAAAGGTTTTGTTATCTAAAGTTAAAAAAAAAAAAATTCCACGGGTCAGCAAGGCAAGGTTTCTCTTCTTTCCCGTGAGACAGCAGTGGTTCCTGGGGACAGAAAGGCTTTGAGCTCTTGCCTGGAACTTTGAGTCATGCTACCTATCTCCAGTGCATACAGAGCACTGAACACATCATGCCACTCATATAATTAAAATTTAGTTTTAAAGTATTTTTAAATTGTAGTAAAATACATATAAAATGTATATCTTGGCTGCATGTGGTGGCTCACACTTGTAATCCCAGCACTTTGGGAGGCTGAGGTGGGTGGATCACATGAGGTCAGGAGTTTAAGACCAGCCTGGCAAACATGATGAAACTCTGTTTCTACTAAAAATATAAAAATTAGCTGAGTATGGTGGCATATGCCTGTAATCCTAGCTACTCGGGAGGCTGAGGCAAGAAAATCACTTGAACCAGGGAGGCAGAAGTTGCAGTGAGCCAAGATCGTGCCATTACACCCCAGTATGGGGGATAGAGCAAAACTCTGTCTCAAAAACGAAAATAAAAGTAAATGTACATCTTAACCATTTTTCAGAGCACAGCTCAGTGATATTAAGATATTAAGTATATTCACATTGCAACTATCACCCCTATCCATCTCTAGAACTCTTTTCACCTTGTAAAACTGAAACTCTATACCCAATAAACAATAACTTCCCATTCCCCTATTTCCCCAGCCCTGGTACCACCATTCTACTTTCTGTCTGTATGAATTTAACTACTCTGGGTACCTTACATAAGTGGAATCATACAGAATTTGTCTTTTTGTAACTGGCTTATTTTACTTAGCAGATTGTCCTCAAGATTCATTCATGTTGTAATATATCAAAATTTTCCTTTTTAAGGCCGAATAATAAGCTGTTGTATGGATATACCACATTTTCTTTATTCAT